GGTTGTGAGGTTTTGAGAGCAGGAGTTCTTTATACAGTCTGTATGCTCCCAAGTTCATGGTAACTACTAGGTAAATTGACCAGATCAGTGAATTGAGAAATACTGGAATCTGTTCAAGTTGCCTAGGTTTCCTGGTGTTCAAGGGACTTTTCATAAATATTAAAAAAATTAATTCATAGAGCCAGGTCCCTTCCTGCATCCCCACAGTTTCTGTGTACCTACAACAAAAATATGCCTTCATGGGCCAGTTCCCATTATTCTCAATAGACAGTCCCTTTGAATTGGACCCATTGATTCCATTTAAGAAGAAAATGTAGACAAATGGAGAAATTCAGAGTTCCACCTCACTTATGAGTTGAGCATCTATGAAGACAGAATTAGGAAAATGCATGTTTCCCTGAGAGTTCCCCCACCCCTACCCCATTTGATAGTTGTCTGTTTTCTCTTGACCTCATTGGACTCCATCTGCTTTTTGTTTCTTTTTTCTTCTTCTTCTAATCCATAATGTGGCAAGCAATGGACAAGGGCTGGGAAAAGAGATTTTAGAGTATCTACAACCTCTTCCATGATCAGGGAATGAGTTAAAGTCTAAAGCAAGCAGTCAGATCTTGCCAACAACATGCCCGAATCACTACCCCCTGAATACATAACCGGGCCCCATATGTATGCAGACTTGTTCTCTCCTCTCATCACTGCAAGTGTCGCATCATAAATAAATGAACCACCTTACGTGCAGGAAGGAGATTGGGAAAGGACAAGGTAGATTTTCATGTCTAAAAAGTTACCTTGTAATTAGATAGTTTTGCTTGGAGAGTGCTCTGATTTCAGGACCAGTTTGAGACATTTAAACATTTAGCTTCCACATGTGGTCTGAGACTGTTAAGAATGAAACTCCAGGGTGCCTGGGTGGCTCAGTTGGTTAAGCTTCCGACTTCTGCTCAGGTCATGATCTTGCGGTTCATGAGTTCAAGCCCCGTGTTGGGTTCTGTGCTGACAGCTCAGAGTCTGGATCTTGCTTCGAATTCTGTGCATCCCTCTCTGTCTGTTCCTCCCCCAGTCACACTCTGTCTCACTGTCTCTCTCTCTCTCAAAAATAAATACAAAATTAAAAAAAAATTTTTTAAAAAGAATGAAACTCTAAAGAGAATAAACCCTTTAAGTTTACCAAGGCGTTGCTAAATTAATATACACATGCACCTAGTCACCTGATAGGAGCAATGAACTAGTAACGGTAAGCCAAGTATTCCCAGATTCTAGAGTTTTTTTGTAATGTTCATATTCAACTACAAGTTTTGGGACACAGAGACCGACAGACAGGCAGGCCCATAGTCAGTGTATGGTATATGCCGTGTGGGTGCTGACTGATTGATTATAGAGCACTGAATTATGGCTCTAGAGGAGGGTCATCTGTCAGAAATGATAAAAGAAAAGGTGAGACCGGATCCTTCATGACGAGTAATGTCCTGTGACCAGTCCATGCTGTTTTGTTCCCGATGGGCTTAGGTGATGGCCCAGTTGGACAAAAAGCAGGGACACAAACTAGGGATTTTTAAAGCCAACTCCACAGACTTCATACACAGCTCTTTGGTGGCCAGTTATGTGATTGATCGTCATGGGATCTGAAAATAATCCAGCTTAAAGTTTAGCACTTCTCATTCAGGAAGTAACAAGTAGAGCAAGGGATACAGGATTTAAGGGAGATGTACCCCAATAAAATGTACCCCAAGGCAGTGGATCTGATGCGTCCTTCAGTAATTCAGATGTAGTGACTTTCACGTTGAAATAATTGTTAGACCTGCTTGGCCACTCAAAAACAACCATTTTGAGTTGGATTTTTTCCCATTTGGAATACAGACTCCTTTAATCAAGTAATACATTATTCTGTGAAGCAATGCCATTTGTTATTTGAATTTTAATAAGTTCTATTAAATAGGTGACAAAGCCTTTTTTTTAAATTTTTTAATGTTTACTTATTTTTGAGACCGAGAGAAACAGAGCATGAGTTGGGGAGGGGCAGAGAGAGGGAGACACAGAATCTGAAGCAGGCTCCAGGCTCTGAGCTGTCAGCGCAGAGCCCAACGCAGGGCTTCAACCCACCAACTGGAGATCATGACCTGAGCGGAAGTCGAATGCCCAACCGACTGAGCCGCCCAGGCACCCCATACAAAGCCTTTTATATTGGCATTCAGAGACTTCTGGTATTACAGGATAAAAAATAACTGAACTCAACACATGTGTCAGACTTACTTAGAAAATAAAATTATGTATTCTATCAGTGAGTCAACAGTAAGTTGTGTGATACTGTCTGGATGTCAAGAACCACTTTAAGAAGTTGTTAATGCTTTTTCGGTGGCCAAGAGGAAGAGTCTGAATAGAATTCTGACCCTAAGAACACAAGCCGTTCCCAGCTTTCAAGCAGGTTGTGTTCCAAAAATGTCTGGTTGGAAAATGGCTTGTTTGGCACTTGAGCCCTATTTTTCCAGAGAGATGGCAACACAAGTAGAAGCCTTGAGTCCAGTGGCTTTAAATGAAGGAGGCGCCCCAGTGGTAGAGAAAGGAACCTAGAATCCTTAGCCCTGCAGACGGGGGACACGAATTCTGGACATGTCCTGAGGTGTCAGGACAGGCCACTCACAGGAAAAGTGTGCAGTTCTTTGCGGAGACAGAAATGAGATCCAGTTTTAGTGCTGCTACCTTCCAGCTGTTCATCTTTAGGCACATCACTTCAGATAAAATAGGAAAAATGATACCAACCTACACTGTGGAACTGATGTCACATAAGATGTTTCATCTGACATGTCCAAATTCTCTGTCCTTCCAAACTTGCTCCCCCTCTTCTTGTCGCAATCCTCTCCAACCAGTTACTACGTCCTATAGTGCTGAACCTCTGAAATCTCTCCGGAATGTTCCCATTTACCTCTACCCCCACTGCACCACCCTTCACCCAGCCACACCATTTCTCGGACCATAGGACACTTAAATGTGCCACACTCCCTCCTGCCTACCCATTCTCCATAGGGATATCCCTAACTGAGCCCATTATTGTTCTCCCCTAATCCGTTCTTGACAAGCAAGAGCTCTGGAGAGCTTTTAAAAATATAAATCTGATCTCCTCGCTCCTGCTTAACATCATGAAGAGCTTATCATTGTCCTTTGGATAAAAATCAAACTCCTTAACATTAACTGTAAAGCCTTGCATTATATGACCCCTACCTATTTAGGTCTTTTCGATGCACTACACTGCTCCCTCCTCCATGCCCAGCCACAAAACACGTGGTCCCCTTGCCTTGGAACACTTTTCCTTCATTGTATCCTACCCTGTTTCACCTGCAAAATGACACTAATACTTGGCTTCGGTTTCATTACCCGTTATTCTCTCTGTAGGGTGTAGGGCAACTTTGATGCCATACTTAGGATTTCAGTAGCAACCCTCAAGACAGTCATCCTCAAAATACTTTATTGTGATTACTAGTGTAGTTATCTGGCTTCCCTGAAGGCTAGCAGGCTGACGCCTTAGGGAATGTGGTGGTGAAGAGTGCAGATTCTGGATTGTCTTGGTTAGATTTGGGGCTCTGCCCACATATTTGCTGGTGAAGTTGTTTATCGTTTTATGCCTCAGTTTCCTCTTCTGTAAAATAATACTGCCTGCCTCATAGAGTTATTGTAAGCATTAAATGAGCTCATGTATACTATATGCTTATCAATACATATGTAAAAGGTTTAAGTGCATTAACGGGTCCATAGAAAATAAGTCTTCATTAAACTGAGATGCACACATAACGGGTACTTACAAATGTAAACATATTGCAATTTTGTTTTGCTTTTTAAAAGGCTAAGGCAGTCTTCCAGGGAGCCCACTTTGTCTTTTTTCTTTATTTTCCATCAGCTTGATAAAATTAGCGAATCAAAAGTAAAATGAAATGTTAATACCCCGTTTGCTTCCCCATTTGTCCTTTTCCCCCAATCTGTGTCGCCTTTTTGCTCTTTTTCCCCCCAGCCTGTGTAGCCTTCAGGTGTGACATAGAGATGTAAAGTGGAAAAGGGGACAAAGAAAATATTATGATCCTAAAATTTGTCTTCCTGTCAACCGCTGAGGGACCTCTTGCCTTCTTCATCGTAGATTCTGCCTCTGCCCGCATTTCCTTAGTTCTTGCCTATTTCAGAGCCCTCCCTAGAGAGGCCGGTGGCTGGAAGTCCGGTGCCTAGAGAGGCCTGACCTCATGCTCATTCAACAAAAGCCGGGCTGTTGAATGCAAGCCCATGAAAGCCTTCTTCCCCATGCAAGCCCGTGAAAGCTTTGCTTCTGCTTCATTCTGCACTCCGCCCCCCCCCCCCCCCCCCCCCCCCCACCAGCCGCCAAATTGTTTAGAAGGAGTCACCAAATACATTTCAAAGGCAAAGCTACACATCAGTGCAGCATGGGTTATGTGACATTTTTTTTAAAGGTCTTTAGAGAAGATGACAAAACAGGGAGCTTCCCACTCTCACGGGCGTGAAGTTTTTGTGCAAACATAGTGAAAAACCAATAAACATTGCACCGAGCCACTGAATTTTGTGAGGGTGTACTTATTACCAGGTACTCACCAGGTTTTAGAAGTTATTGTCATTATGATTTTCGGATGAGTCACCGGGCCACTTGCCCCCGGGAGGCACTCCATTATGATTCAGAGCAAAGTACGGAAAGGGCTCAGGCTTCCGGGAGTTAGTGGTGTCGGGGGGTAGGGGGTTGCTGTGGCTCTGCCTTGGCATGAGGCTTAATCGACACCTTTGATGTAGCCTAAGACAGAACCCGCACCTCCCACTGCTGCTTGGAAGACGTCAGCCTTACGCAGAAAAGGCATCTGCTGATGAATCCTGCATCTCATTCAGTCTGCTCTGGGAGCAGCCTTTAGCCATCCTTAACTAATCCAACTGCTTCCCAGTTCCGCGGGTGCTCGGCTTAGTGCTGAGAAGGGAGCTCGCCTCTTGATTTTGCCAGGTTAAACACTAAGCCTGTGTCCATGTTAGAACTCATAGAAGGTAAGTTAAAAGCATTCTTGCTCTCCTTCATGGAAAATGTTTTTGTGCACCCTCAAGAATGTGTGTGTATCTCATTGCAGATTCTACTTCATTGACTGTGGGTGTAAAACTTGTGAAAATGTTGTCATGTTTATGGGTAAGATAGTGGCAACCTTCTATATCTTTGTAAAGTCATGTCTCTAAAGGGTTTTAATCAGTTCCTAGAGGTGATGTTACTCAGAGAAGAGAATTGCTTACTTGAGTTCTGTGACTTTGATTGCATTTGGTGATAATGTGGTAGAAAAGTCTTCGGAGTTGGGTAGAATTCCAGTGATTTAAACCTATCATAAAGCAGCTTTTATTTTCGGCAGCAATAAAGACAAACTGTGAGGAGTTCCTCCTGAGTGTCTGTGCCAATTAGTTTGTCCTGTGAAGGCGGGTCCTTCAGAGTTAGTTAGGCCAGAGGGATGTGCAGGGCACAAGTGGATGCAGGAACTTCTAGAGGCTGGTTCTTAAGTGTAAAAAGATAGCGATCTCTTTTAACAAGGCACTGGGAATATCACTTGTGAGTTATGCTAATTTTTACCCCTACTGGGTGGTGCTCGGAAGCTAACCTATAGCATTAAGGATGAATCCCGCTGAAAGCGTCTCAGGACCTTAACCACATGTCTAAAATCTATCAGCACAGTTAAAGGCACCGTTTAATAAGTTCTTCAGGAAAGTTGTCAAAAGTACATTTGTAAGGACTTTTATGTAGTCTGAGCCTGTATTTAACACAGGATTAGCAAACTAGTGAATTTCTGAAGAGGGTCACTTACAGGACTGCAGATAAAAAGGTATCTGGAATTTTAGCACATGTCCCTTTATAATTGCTTGCTTCTCCGAGAAGATGATTTGTCATGAAAACATTTTAATGAGCGGTTTTTTTCTCCCTGTGAAACTTTGATTCTAGTTAATGGAACCCCTGGTAGTCAGCTGTCTACTCCACGCTCGGGCAAGTCGCCAAGCCCATCGCCCACCAGCCCGGGAAGCCTGCGGAAGCAGAGGGTAAGGAACTAAGCAAGCTCCTTGTTTAAGACCTGCCTGCGCTTCTGCATACAATGGCACAGGTGCCAGCTCCTTAGAGCACTGCTTGTCTCTAAGTAATAACCAGGTGAGGGCAGGAGGTGACCAGTGGCAGGTCCCTTGCAGGGGCTATGGTTTCTCTCAGCTAGAACTCAGGGCTTTTATGTTGTCTGAATTTGTCCGAATCTTAACTCTGACAACAGTAAACAGTTGCTGGTTCTCTTTTTGTCCTGAACGGGCACAGACTTTATTGGCACTGGTTTGTAAGCTTCCTTAGTTGTAATGAGTTTCATTAGACATCATCTCTGACCATCAACCTTCCTTAAGAAGGAAAAGGAAAAGTGCCATTTTGGAGAGGGGGGCTATGGTGGGGGGTTGCTTCATGGCACAGAATGGTGGTCCAGAGCAGGTTAGGGTCCATGTCATGGGGGATAGATGCGTATGACACGTGTATTTATGAATGAAACCCACATCGAGTACCTTCTCTTTTTCATCACTATTTGCTTTTTTTTTTTTTTTTTTTTTTTTTTTTTTTTGGCTTGGGTAATACTGGAGAAATTGACTGAGCTTGGAGATCAAAGTCAAAAAGTTACTGGAAAGAGTGTTAGCTTCTTCATGTTCAGGAAGGGGGAAGAACTACTATTCTTACCCCTCACAACCTGCCCTGTCTGTCTTTTCCAGTAATACCAGGGCAGGAATAAAGGGGGTAGGAAGGGGAGGAGAGGAAGGTGCAGTGGGGGGAAGGGAAGGCCTTTTACTATCCTGATGTCACAAGTGAGGTGGAGAGGAATACGTGCTCTTAGGAGGTTTTATGATGGCTTCTTGAACTCAAAGTCTGGGTTCTTAGTTTGGTGTCGTTTATTATGTGCTTTTAAATGAAATTTCTGAGTTCCATAAATTTAAGCTGCATCCAACATGGAAGCTTTTCTCTTCAAGCCTCCTGCAAGGTTGCGTCCTGCTGCTGCTGTCTAAAAGCGGGAGCGGGGGCGGGGCCTCCATCAGTCCCGGGTCTCTTTGGCTCCTGGCCCACCACGTGTCAGGGTGTGCTGTGTTTCTCCATGGATCTTCTGGCATCAGGTGTAGCTCCTTTAGATTACTTGATGAGGCCTGGGCTCTGGCACCAGCTCCTCTACTAAATGGCTGTGTTGTCTTCGATAAGTCTGTTATCCTCTCCGAGTCTCAGTTGGAAAAACAAAACAAAACAAGAAGGAGGTTCCTTCCAGATAGAAAACCCCGTAACTCTATTCCATCTGAGTGTTTTCATTATGGGCTTCTTCTTGGCCACAGTCTAATTTGGCGTTTTAAAGTACGGGAATCATTAGTGAACTACTAAAAGAAGAATTGGCCAAATGCATTGAATCCCCTAAATGTCTGTCGTTGAGTGGAGGAAGGGGTAGTCGGGCGATTCTTTTCTAGTGCATGTTACCCAGCAAGGCCCCCTTCTGTAAGGGCAGCCATGTATAGCTCAGACAGTGCTCTTTCCTAGAACATTCTCTCTTTTGAAGTGTAGACTTTGGAGAGTACACATGGCATAGTAATCCTTCCTCATCCTTTGAAAAAATTAAACTCAGATTCAGGATTTAGCTCATGCTGAGTTGTTGAGATTAAATTATAGTCACTGAGAATCCCTGCCACAGATTTGAGCTTCTCTCCCTGGTTGCTTATTGTGGAGACCTCTGTTGAGAGGATATAAAGTGCTTTACCCGACTGTCCCTTTGTTGGAAGAACGAAGCTAGAATTTGCGTCCTCTGCCCTCTGTATTCTCTGTGTCATTATGACTTTGTCCAAATGAGGCAGAAAATGTCTAGCCAGTGTCGAGCGGCTGTGTGGCCAATGGCTTCTATAATTAACATTGCCAGCACTTTGGGAAATTACTATAAGGGGTGATTCTCTTATAGATTCTTCATTGTGTCATTTAAACTACCAATGCAGGCATCTACTTGAGAGGGAAAAATAATCCCATTTGTTTCAGGGAGACAGAGGGTTTATCGTCATCTGAAAACATTTATTAAGCACATGTTGTAAGCAGAGCACTGGATGATCCAGAGATGGTTCACTTTCCAGGCTTTTAAATTTAGGCCATAAATGAACATCCTCCATCCATGTACCATGTCAGTGCATGGAGACATTCCCAGCTGCTTTAGCGAGAGAAGCTTTCATCTTGGTGTGGAGGCAACTGCATCAAATAACCCCTCCCAGTTAAAATGGGCCTAGAATATCCCTCAAAACTGATCCTGTTTCAAATTTGGTTAATGTTCTTCTCAAATGGTTGGCTATACTCCTATGCAGGAAATACTGAAATAAGTGAAAGATGGCAAGTGCTAAAAGAAGATACTTCAAAGAATAAATTAACTCTTTTTATTGCAAATTGGAAAACAGTAGCTACTTCTATTTTTCCTTCTGTGTTGCCTAGCAACATGGCCAGGAAAATGAGTTAGCTGTGCCCCCTAACACACACACACACACACACACACACTCACACTGCCTACCTCAATTTATAAAAACAGGAACATATTTTTTTTATTTTTAAAGGAATATTGAGACGTTTGACAATTAAGAAAAATCTATTTTATTTATGTTAATTATGATGATTTAATCAACATTTCCCCTTCCTTTAGAATTATATTTTTCTGTTACATCTTTTGGTATTTTACAATAGTCATATACAGTAAGAGTCTGCATGCCAGATATTTTCTTCATAAAAGCATTGGTGGCGATGTACCAAAAAACCTCCCTATTTTTCCAAAACGCTGTTATTCAAATTGCTGTCTAAAAGCTGTTAACTGGTCACAGAAGCAGATCTAAGAGGATCTTTTCCATCCATGAACTTTTCTTGGTCTTGTTTCTTAATACATCAGGAAGAAATGTGTTGTGTTGTGTGGGTTGAATGAAGCTCCCCATTCTACTCCCACATGGCTGACTTGTGTAGATTATCTGATCAGTCAGATGATGTGAGGAGTGGGTGGTACAAAATAGAAAAGAAGCCAGGATTCTAGACAGTCTGCAGATCTGAGCTGGTTGCCTGGGTACCAACTGAGAGATCTCCTAGCAGAAAGGGGTGGAGGGAGGAAGAAAGGAGTTGATTGGTGAGTGGTTGGAGACCGCAAGAGCATTGGGAAGGCAATGGGAGGTCAAGCTTGCATTTTTTTCTGTCTTCCAAGTATAAAATTTTGAAAAGGCAATTTTTATTGGGTTTATGCAATTTGCAAATGCAACACTTGGGTTGCTGCTTTGGGACCAGAATTTGCTGATTGCCATCTGGGGTTCCTAACAAATTATTTTGTGAGGTAAGCACGTTCCTCTTCTACCCAGAATGGGAAGGAAATGTTCAAGGAAGAATGGCCTAGACACATAGTTAGCGGAGTTGGCATTGACAGACCCCAGGGGCTATATATAAAATTCACTGGACACAGAAGGCAATAGCTCAGAAGCAGATCAAGCCAATAAGGCAAATGAGCACCATTTTTGTCTGTTTAAATGGCTTCTCAGTTATTATCTTTCCTCTTATCCAAATTTGGTGAGTCTAAAAGGTCTGATGATGTTAGAAACCAAGGATGCTCATTCAGTGTTGCTCCCTTCCTAAGAGAGCCACATGGCACCCAAGAAAGCCAAGTAAACAAATCTATACCGCCCTTCATCTTACAGGACCTGTATCGCCCCCTCTCTTCGGATGATTTGGATTCAGTAGGAGACTCAGTGTAAAAGAGACAATGGAGCATTGTATATGGTTTGTGATTGGGTGAAGGTGTTTCACATTTCCTAAGAAAAGTCTAACAGCAAAATAAACAAAAGGGTTTTGCATACCTTGAAATTATGAACGCAATTCCTCTGAAAGTAAAAAATGCAGGCATTTTATATTCATGATCTTAATCCTTGAAGAAGATTTATATACCTGAGGTTTTTGTGCAAGGCCTGGGTTTAGATGAATTTCATATATGACCCGATATTGAGTATAAGAACAAGCTAATGATATAGCGATATAGGGTCATTAATTTCTGCAGATACAGTTTTCATTTAACCATAAGTAGACATATAGATACAATTTTCCTGTACTGTTGGTCAAGCAAATTAAAATGGCACTAGCAGACATTTTTTTTTCTTCTTTTTTAAAATTTGGATTGCTGATTTTTTAAAGATGCTTCTACTGCAAAGTAATAAAAATACTCAGGTAGATTTTTTTCTCCCTGCACAATAGACAAAGCTACTTATTTTGTGGGTTAATATGTCTAAGGAAAAACACTCATGCCGAGGACACTCCTCATGAAGATTCCAACGATAAGCTGTAGGAACTTTCCTAGCTTTTGTTGTCAACTAAATTTTTTTAAACTTCCCTTTCGTTAGAAACAGCATAAATGTGGCTTGAACGATATACCAACACGAAGAACTTGTTCGATGGCATTGCTATAAATGACATAATTCCTCCCTACAACCGTATATGTAATTTTTCACATGTTGAAAAGGCTGAAGCTAGAAAGCTTTTTTTTTTTTTTTTTTTTTTTTTTTAACACACAGACCCAAAAAAATTGGGTCTGGATTTTTTTCTAAAAAGAATCCATTTGAAAAGCAAAATTCTCTTAAATGGTGCTGTTTAAACCAGGCCCCCCCAAAGTCTAAAACTCCGTTCAGATAAATCCTGGCTCTCACTGATGTTTTGGAAATTTTCGTATGCAAAACTCCTTTTGTCTTAAACCAAGTAAGTCTGTGATTATAACCCACTGTTTAACATTAACCTACTAATTCTGCTCTTCTGGTCCTCTGTTTTGAAAATCGTAGTCAGCTTTGCTTAAACATAAAATAATTATTTTCAAATCTGAATGTTAAAAATTAATTTAATGTGTATGGTCTATTGTATGTAAGCCATACCCTAGTGATCATTTAGTTTTACTAGTTCAAACACTAACAATTTAAGACTTGTGAAGCATGGTTTTGATATTGTACAGGCTTGACATATCTCAGTAGGTGATAAATTAAAAATGTATGAT